GAGGTGCTTCGGCGCTGGCACTTGTAGCGCTGGCGCCAGTCGGTTTCGAGCCAAGTGGATACGACGTACGTGATAAGAGGGTAAAACGGCAGTTGGGGTCAAAGTTCTGGCCAAATATACCACTTCGAAGAGAGAGGCAGTTACAGGCAGTTAGTGCTGAAACATTCAGGAAAAAACGAAAAATAATTACGTCATGCTCCATCAGATTTTTCTTTCTCGGATTATGTGCGAGAGAGGAAAATCAAAAAGTTGTTTAACGTGCTTCTCTTCGAGACTTCAGTTCCGTTGAGGTTTTTGTTCAGCACACCCCCCAAGGGGACTTCATTAGAGAGAATCAATTACTCAGCTCTTCAAAGGAATGCTCACTATTGCAGTGCATGCTCGAATGCACCGTGGCAAATGCGTCTGCGAACCGAAATGGAAGGGACCGATTTGCAACGAATTCGAAGGCTGTCCCGAAGGACATGCGTTACATGGGAAAGTGTGAGTTATTTGAGTACATTTTTAAATAAGTATAGTTTTCATGGCGCTAATAAACTTGGGAGAGGAAGGAGGGAGCTCCTTCTTCCCCCCCCCCCCGACCGCTTTCCAAAGTTATTAGTGAAGTTTTACTGCTCCATTTTATAACACGTAAATAATGTCATTTGACTACAGAACTGTTGTCTACTACTCCTTATTATATGAAGCTACCGTATTTGAATAGAAAAAAGGTTCTTCATGAATCTTCTCCAGGAATTATCCCAAATCCCGTGGAAATTTTTCCAACGTTGTGAACCGGCCCACCGCCCTCATGATCTCAAACGTGGGCTTAAAATTATGGGCAACGTCATGCGCGTTAATAGCATTTTCCAAGAACTCCTCCCAAAGCCCTCAGAACTTTCTCCCAAACCCCTGTGAAATGGGCCACCGCTCAATGGTCTCCAACGTGGGCTAAAAATTATGGGGCAACGCCGCGCGTCGTCTTGTCCCTCCAAGTGTTAGAATTGGGGCCAAGGTGTATCACGGCATTGTTTCAATACAGGGGCTTTTCTCTAAAACGAAATCTGTGGAACTTGGGAGGGTAGAGAAATCGGGCATATCCTCTGGAGAGCGAACGGAGACCATTGCAACGGAATATATAGCTCGCATGAAACGGGAAAATTAAACAATTGGTGACGACTCCTTCCCCCACTCGACGCCAGTTCTATTTTTTTCTTGGGAAAAACCGAAATATTCTTCAGAAAGCTGGGAAAAGTGGTAGGGAGTTGAGAAAACTCACCAAGATGGGAGAGACAGCTCGGATAAGGGGGTATACGAGCCGTTTCGATGCTCAGTGACAGGGTGTAGACCCTAACATGCAGAGGGGCGATCCTTCCCTCCACCTCCACCTCCCTCCCACTGTTTTTTTTTCTGATGTAGGCTAAGATTTGCTAGAAATTGTTAGTGCTTGTCAGCAGCTGTTGGGCAGATTTTTTGGTATATATGAAGATTCTTGGAACTAGCGTTTCGCACTTCCGGAAAAGCGTGTTAGCCATTTCGCCATCCATTAGCCATCGGCGCAACTTGCGATAATCTTATTTGGGGAACCGCATCAAAAGCTGCAAAAGGGAAACGCTTAGGGGGTTTCGGCCAGATTACTTCATTTAGTCCGAAAATCATAGGGATGCGGATGACTTGAGGTATAAAGGACGATAGTTCAGTCCGTGCTCAAAAATAGTAGCAGTGTGCTGGGGGATGACGAAAAAGCAAAGTAAACGGCCGAAGACGAGCTTTTTTGGACGAGTTCCCGTTTTCGCTGTGTCAAGCAGCATTTCGATAACTGTAGATATTTGTTGATGTATCCAAGTAGCAACGCTTCATATCAATTGAATTTCATGAGTGAAGCGTGATCTGTACCAGGCGTGACTGCGCGGCCATTTGTGGGCAGGAGCTTGCGCTAGGCGTGTGGGTCGGCGTGTTTCACCTTGATTAGACGGTA